GTGAGGTGTGATGGATATATCGGGTTAATAGAAGGGGTTTTATTAATTGTTTTTTTATTTATATGTACTTTAAAAGATTCTAGCTTAAACTGTACATATTTCCGTAAAGTTGAGGAAAGGCATGCCCCATAATATATGAAGTGAATACTACACTATGAGGCACGTGCCTTGTGGAGAAATACCTTGAAAAGCGTAAGGCGTGTTAACCCTCATGTTCCACAATTTTAAACAATGTTAACAACTGCACGCTGACAGATGCCACTGCCCCACACCTGCTATTGTTAGCCACTATCAACTGCCCAGTTCACTTGCGGAAAGAGTTTTGATCTATAGATGAGTGTAAACTACTCTATACATGAGCATGTACTTCAGAAATGTGAACTCTTAAGCTGGCTTTTGCCAAACCTATAAATAAGTCTCTTGCTCATTCATTTGGTGGGAGTTATGAATCTACAGAGTTCTAGATTTTGAGAAAAAAATTTCCTTATGTTGTAGCCGTAATTTCAATTTCTATTCTAAGAACAAGTTTTAACTAAACTCTCTGGTCCACTGATCAGCGCCTTTGATGCTGGATGATGCTATTCTAGAAAGTTTTGATCTGACAATAGCCAATTGATTTGACACATATATTGAAATCTTGAAATCTTTTCTTAATTCGTTTTGTTTTTTTTTTGTAAGTTTTACATGCATACCACTCAATTCTTGTGTATTTACATATCTAAACCTGAACCTAAACTTTTACATACGTGCCTTACATATGCTGAAAATGTGTATTTCACTTTTGAAAAGTTAAAACAATGATATTTTTTTATGTGATGTGAAAGATTTGGGTGTTATACATGTAAAAAGTAATGTTTAGGTGTTAGATATGTAAACACATAGAAATTGGGTGGTATGTATGTATTTCTCCTTTTTGGTGTTGTTAGCCTTCTGGTTGAATAGAGGAAAATGAAACCTTGTAATCAATATCTATCCGGTGGAAACCCTTAAGCTTTGTTAGGTCGTGTGGTTACTTCCATGTGTATATTTGGATAAAATATTGCATCCGGAGTCCGGACGCAAGCTAGAACAGACACGATACACCGGGGGCTTTTTTTTTCTCTTCTGCCCCATCCGGTGTATCGCGTTCGTTGTCTGGACATAGTCTTTCATCCGGACTCCGGACACAATATTTTTTTTGTGTATGTGAGACTTAAAATTACCACTTAGACAACAGTATTATCTACTTAGCATTAATATTTTTTATTAGCATCCTATATATATATTCAATAGAATAGCAGCTCTGTTACCATTTAGCATGAAAATCCGAGTTTTAATAAATTAAAGAACGAAAACATTATGAGTGAGAATGTACAGTGCAATTCTCCGTAAGGCCAAAACTATATGGATTAATTATTTCAAGCCTTTATGATTTCCCATTGTAGTCATTACTATATTTTAGTTTTTTTTAAGCTTTCATGTTTAAAAAAAATGAGAGAAATTGGAATCTTTTTTCTCGTAAATGAAGCAGATGACTGCACAAAGATGACACTTTAAAAGTTTTTACTTTATTTTCAACCAATATTCTCTGTATTTTAGTGCTGTGTTGTTTATCCTTGCTTACAAGAGAAGTATTCCATTACTCGTTAAAAAAAAAAAATAAATGAGGAGAAACTGTCATTTTTTTCTTAAATAGGGGCCAATAATAGTCCTTCCATCAAATCATCTAATACTTCTTAATTTCTTAAGTCATTTTGAATTGAAATATTTCATTTTGCATCTATGAAACAGGAGCATGTGGCACCTGTCCTAGTTCAACGACCACCATGAAGTTGGGCATCGAACGTGTGTTGAAAGAGAAGTTTGGAAATGCAGTTAAAGATGTACGCCAAGTTTTTTATGAGCAACGATCCAAAACAACTGTTGAGGTTAGTTTGGATCTTAATATTTCCCATTCAATATTGTGCATATAAAAATATGTTAACACAAATCTCAAGCCAGATGAATGGCTCAGGAGGATGATAATGACGATCGAACATATCTATTAACGACCGTCTTGAGTTAGATATTGGAAAGAGAGGCGTCTTGTTCAAGCGCTCGGCAAAACATGCCGGGAGATTTTACGTGGGGCAGGGATCAGACGATCGATAGGGGGCATTCTTTCGGCTTAGATGTTGATCAAGTCAAGGCTCCTCTAACAATCGATAAATATTATCGATTAAATCGGTCCCCCAGTCTTATTATATGCTAATAACTCCGTAATTACTAAAAAGTCCATCTGAAAAGTAAATGATGAGGGACCAATATGTACTTTTGTAATATTGGGACCTATGCCTATAAATTGGAGGTTCATATCATGAATAAAGGCTACACTCTCTTTTACTGTTCTCTATTGTGTTCTCTCTTTCTCAAATCACTTCCCAGTAGAATATTATATTCCTTAAGTGTGTTTCCCGGACACTTTTGAATTCAACGTTATTTAAAGTGCAGTGAGTGTGGAAACATATTATCAACAAGAAAAGGAGCCCAACAATAACGATAGAGAGAGTCCAGTCAGAGAAACTTAGGAGAATCAACATGCACTAAGAGTATATGGAAGAATTCGTTTGAAAAAGCCTGTAAGATTTGAGAACTCAGATCACCAACAAGATATCGGGACAGTTCCCAGCACTTAGAGCGGTTGCTGCCCTAGCAGCAGTCTCATTTCTAGGAGAAGAGCCAACATGACAATGAGCACTCAACCCCCCTCAAGGGGAACCTCTAACCAACAATGAAAGGAGGGTGATTCACCTGCAGGAAAAACCCAACGACAGTCTATACCAAGACAACACTTTATCCACCCCAGTGAAGGAGAGCAGCCAACCAGTGATGACCGAGGTACAAAGGCAGTCGGAAAACACCTTCTTCCTACGAGCTTCCGAAGTTGAACCTCCGGAGAAGTTCAAGATGTCGGTTTTACAGCCGTATAAAGGACAGTTGGATCCTAAGAACCACCTTGTGTCGTTCAAATCATCCATTTGTTTGTTGAAAATTTTGATGCCCTCAAGTGTAAGCTCTTCTTCACGACGTTGAGATCATCCGCATTAAGGTGATTTGACGAATTTCCAGTGAGGGTAATTACCTGTTTTGCGGATTTCAGAACTCTTCCTATCGTAGTTTGTCAGTGCTTTGATGTCTAAGAAGAGTGTCTGATCTTTGTGGAAACTAAAGCAGGAGCCAATGAGAGCTTGCGATCATTTATGGTTCACTTCTGAAACAAAATGCTAGATGTCAAGGACTTGAAGCCTGATATGGCCTAGGCCGCGTTGACACAAGGAGTGTGGTTGGAGAGATTTTGTTTCGACCTCAAACTGGCTGAGCCACAGAGCTTGGTCGAACTATTAAAGATGGTCGACAAGTACATTGCCGCCTATGTGAAAACCCCAAAACCAACCGAACTGAGACATAAGAAGGGCCATCGCAAGATAGCCGTAGGCCCCCCAGACAAAGTGTAAGGTCGATCATACGCCCCCACTACGAAGGTCCCTTCGGTAATAGCTACACCCACGGTCACGAGGATCAAAGGAGATAAACGAAGACCCCATACTCCCGATTGTCTCAATACAATGAATCTCAAGGAAATACCAAAACCCCTTAGGAAACCCCACTGAGGGTATCTATGGTGGAAATAGTGGTCATTCAGGATAAGAAGTTCTTCAGGAAGGCAACGTCGATGAGAGTCAGAGCTTTCCTTTGAGATAGGCTGAAGTATTGCAAGTATCAAAGAGATCACGGTGGAAATAGTGGTCATTCAGGATAAGAAGTTCTTCAAGAAGGCAACGTCGATGAGAGTCGGAGCTTTCCTTTGAGATGCATGACACGGAAGAATGCAGACATTTGCAAAGCATGATTGAGGAAATGATAAAGGTGGGGAAGTTGAAAGAATTTGTTGCCCCTGGAACGACGACCTAAAGGCAGGGCAAAGCTCCCACAGGAGGAACGACCGACGAGCCATCCTCACCAACGCCATCCACATCACGGGATGTGTGCCCGAAATATTTGGAAGTGAACCAAATGAGACAGCAAAGGAGGGAACTCTATGTCGCAACCTTGCCCCGTAACCTGAGGGTCATCTACTTATTTACTTTACTGATGAGGATCTCCTCCCAAAGGGAAACCCCTATAACAACGCCATTGTAATAACGACGATAATCAACAATTAGCTAGTAGGAAGTATTCTCATTGATACAAGGAGTTCTGTGAATGCACTATTCAAGCAGGTATTTAACAAACTGAGTCTCATTGTCGATCAGATGACTGCGCCGGTCGGTCCACTATATGGATTCTCGGGCGAAAGGAAGTGCTGGGAGTGTTCGGGCTCCTGGTAAGTTGGGGAGAAACGAGAAACAATTTATGCTCACGAAAGATTTCCTCATGGTGGATTCACTATCAACGTATAACGCTATATTCGACCAACTGCTACTGAATGATTTCAGGATAGTGGTCTCTACTTACTATGTTGCTGTCAATTTTCTTAGTTTGAGAAATTATCACGATCAGGGGTAACCTGGAATAGTCCCGGTTTTGCTACTTGCGAGCCATAAGTGATGTGGAGCACAACACATCCAGAATGCAAGGGAAGGTGGCCTCAAGACCAACAAGTTCACTCGTGAAGTTCCGAAGGTCGAAGGAGAACCAGATAGATGTTTTTTAATATGTGATGCTTTTAATGTAGGTCACAGAGAGCTGCTAATCCAAACCCTATGGGAAAATTGAAATGTTTTAGCTTGGAAGGTCGTGTGCTACAGATTGAACGTCGATCCATCGGCTCGACCCATGAGGCAGAAGATCAGAAGCTCGACCATGACATTTGCAGGATCCATTCAAGAGGAATTATGAAAGCTGGAAAAGGCAAAGTACATTCGGAAAGCGCAGTACCCCACCTAGGTCTCCCATGTGGTGATGGTGTAAAAGGCCAACGGAAAATGGAGGATGTGCGTGGACTTTATCAATCTGAACTCTACTTGCCCAAATGACTCGTACCCTCTACCAAGGATCGATGCTCTGGTGGATTCGATGGTCGGCCACTCAGTCCTAAGTTTTCTCGATGCATTCTTCGTATACCATCAGATCAAGATGCACCCAACTTACGTGAAAAAGATGTCTTTATTACTTTAGAGGGAGTTTTTTGTTACAATGTAATGCCCTTGGGTTTGAAAATGCTGGGGCGACTTACCAACTCCTCATAGATGTAATTTTTGCTAATAAAAAAGGAACATTGAGGTGTATGTCGATGATGTACTGGTTAAGAGTCGGTCGGTCGAACAACACTTTGGAGATCTAAAAGTAACATTTTTAACACTTAAAAGGTTTAACATGAAACTAAATCCACTGAAGTGCACCTTTGGGGCTGTGTCAGACAAATTTTTGAGATATTTGTTACCCCCTGAAGGCATAAAGGCTAACCCGGAAAAGATTCAAGCACTCATCGATATGTCCTCCCCTAAAAACACCATGAAAATCTAGAAACTAACTCGTAAGATCACAGGTTTGAGCAGGTTCATCTCCAAGCAGGTGATAAGTGTGCCCCATTCTTCAAAGTACTCAGGAGAGTGAAATGCTTCGAATGGACACCAGAATGCGAGGAGACCTTTAGGAATCTCAAGCAGTTCCTCACCTCTCCTTCCCTCCTTCAAAGCCCGAAACTGGAGGAAAAACTTTATTTTTACCTTGTGGTCAGCTTTGAAGCAGTTAGTTCGGTCTTGGTTAGAGAATAACTCTGAAAGCAGCACACAGTGTACTACACTAGCTGGGTCCTCAAAGGCGTAGAACTCCGGTATATAATAATGGAGAAACTAGTCTTCGCCTTGGTCATTTCAGCTCGGAGGCTCCGACTATATTTTCAGGTACGCCCCGTACAAGTTATCGCAGATCACCCATTAAAATTTGTTCTCACCAGGCCATAGCATTTCGGTCGACTACTCAAATGGTCGTGAAACTCAGCGAGTTTGACATCTCCTATATGTGACAATAATGACACAAACTATTGTAGATTTTCTTGCAAATTTCTCCGAATCGAGGGGCAGAAATGAGGATCTGGCGATCAATAGATCGACCTAGACCTTGTTCACCGATGTGGCATCCGACCAATCAGGTGTTGGACTTAGAGCTTTCTTATGCAGTCCCGCAGGGGAAAACATTTGCCACTCAATCGAGGTAAATTTTCAATTGACTAAAATCGAGCAGGTTATGAAGCTTGAATTGCAGGACTTTACCTAACCTCAGAGATGGGGTTTATCCACATAATGGTAAAGGCCGACTCACAACTCATAATAAATCAGATCAATAGTGAATTTGAAATCAGAGAGGAAACTATAGCAATGTATCTAGAGAAGGTGAAGACGGAGATCGGCCAGTTTGCCAGCTTCAAAATCGAACATGTCGGAAGGGAGGAAAAACAAGTAGCTAACCTCTTATCTCGAAGCCTTCATCTAGGAGAATGGCAAGGGAGGAAAAACAAGTAGCTAACCTCTTATCTCGGAGCCTTCATACCTCGAAGACTCGATCAACCTTCGATCGAAGAACCACTAGCAATGGAGATACATCAAGAGGAGAAGAAAGCTGGATAAGCTCATACATCTGGTACCTAAGCACTGGGGAAATTAGCGAGAAGTTACTGATTGCGGGAGATTCAAATATAAGACTGCCCAATACCTACTAGTTGAAGGAAAACTCTTCAGGAAGTTGGCCACGTCCTTATACCTAAAGTGCATTGGAGAAGACGAAGGTTGAAAACATACTTCGAGAAGTTCATGGCGGGGAGTGAGGAAGCCATTCCGGGGGAAAGACATTATCTCACTGAATTCGGCGACAAGGTTATTTCTGGTGGAACTTGCTCAATGACGCCGAAGAATATTCCTGATGGTGTACACAATGTCAGAAATATGGACTATTATGCCACCTGATCGTCAGTCTGGTGAGAAAGACATTAACTTACGGAATTCAGCGACAAGGTTATTTCTGGTGGAACTTGCTCAATGACGCCGAAGAATATTCCTGATGGTGTACACGATGTCAGAAATATGGACTATTATGTCACCCGATCGTCAGTCTTTGGCCATTCACCTTTTGGGGTATCGACATTTTGAGGCATTTCCCCCATCACGAGGACAATGGAAGTCCTTACTAGTGGCAGTCAATTATTTCTCCAAGTTGGTAGAAACAAAGCCTCTGACACACATAATGGCGAAGGTAGTCTGGAACTTCATCTGGACAAACATGATTTGTCGATACGGATTACCTCTTGTCATATTTACAGATAATGAGATCCAATTCGCGGACAAAAAAGTTCAAGATTTCCTTAAGAGTAAAGTGTTCAACCTCAATTTTGCTTCCGTACATCACCCTCAAACTAATGGACAAAAGAAGACTACAAACAAAATCATCCTAAATTTGTTAAGGAAAAATGTAGGAGCAAATGGCAAAGGGGCAGACTTGATACATTTGGTACTCTGGCCAATCCGAACATTACCGTCCACATCCACCGGAGAGACCCTCTTTATGCCTTCCCATGGAATGGAAGCTATGTTATCGATCGAATACAACAATTACAACTAGAGGGTACTCTCCGCCTTAGCTTTTGACGAGGAAGATTTAGGAGAGTGAGTGGCTTGAGGTGAACGACAAAGGAGTCAGGCTCGCTTTAGATCTGGTCAAGGAGAATCAAGCTAACTCATCCCTCCGACAAGAAGAGTCTAAGCAAAGGACGGCCAAATATTTTAACAAATACATCCGCGCAGAGAAGTTTGCCTCAGGGATCTAGTGTTGAAGAAGGTCGAACTCGCCGCTAAGGGGAAAGCTATCGGGAAGTTGGTTCAAACATAGAATGAACCCTACATCATTCATCAGAGAGCTGGACCCTGAGCATACAAACTGAAGACATTCGCAAGAAACGATCTCCCTCAAACTTTGAGTGGTGACGATCTAGAGGAATTCTTCCCTTAAAGCTATCCCTACTTGTAGAAGAAACAGTGTCATGATTATTTTGTATAACCCTTCTTATCTTTCAAAAACTCAATAAAATAAAGAGGCTCTTTACATTCATAACATCTAAAGTTTGAGATTTCACATATTCAATATTGCTAATAGTATTTTCTCTTATTGCTCTTACGCTCGGAGAACTGACGCAACTACACTCAGAGAACTGACGCAATTACGTTTGGAGTAATTACGCAGTTACACTCAGGCAGTTACCCTAGGAAAATAGGCTCCGCAAGTGGCTAAAACTTATCAAATCCATGCAAAGATCGCTAGTGGCCTATAGGACGTATCGACATTCAGCAGCGACAAGCTTTGCGAGAGGTACGTGAACGATTGTCCTACGCTCTATTTTATACGTTAGCACCTGACAGAGACAAGTTTCGCGAAGGTTGTTTAACCATCACCAGTGGCCTATGGAACGTATGGGCACCGCACCCGACAGTGATAAACTTCGCGAGGAGTACGTGAACGATCGTCTTGCGCCCTACTTTAAGCATTAACACTCAGCAGTAACAAGCTCTGCGAGGGGTGTCTAACCCTCGCTAATGGCCTATGGTATGTATCGACACCTGACAGCGACAAACTCCGCAAGGTGTGCATGAACAAACCCTACTTCAAGCTTTTAACACCCGACAATAAAGAACTCCACAAGGAGTCTATGAATACCGCATACGTGAAAGAGTATATCTATTGACGACCGTTTTGAGCTGAATGTTGGCAAGGGAGGTGCTTTCTTCGAGCAATCGAAGGAACGTGCCAGGAGATTTTCTGCAAGACGGGGATCAACCTTCAAAACGATCGATAGGAGACTCTCTTTTGGAACAGATATCTATCAAGTTAAGGCTCACATGACGGTCGACAAACTTATTGATCGAATCGGTCCCTTGGTTTTATTATATGCTAAGAACTTTGTAATTATCAAAAATTTCTTCTAAAAAGTCAATGATAAGGGGACTAATATATACTTTTGTAATACTAGAACGCGTACTTATAAATAGGTGGTTTATATCATGAATAAATGTTACACTCTTTTTACTATTCTTTGTCGTGTTCTTTCTAATCACTTTCTAGCAGAACGTTCTATTCATTTGGTGTGTTTCCTGGACACTTTTGGATTCAACAAGCCTTGGCATGTTTGTGGCTTCAAAGATTCGATCCCACCGTGGCAGAATTATAGACACATGGCGCGGGCTCTCATCATGGGGTCTAAATGCTCATGGGAAATCGATATATACACACTTTTGTATGATTTTAGCCAAAAATCGAGCATATCATTTAAAATCTGCATGATTTTTTCAGGCTGTGGATGGCCATTTGGACATACTGAGACCTGCTATTAAGAACTATGGTGGAAGTGTGGAAGTACTTTCTATCAAAGACGGAGACTGCCATGTAAAGTATACAGGGCCCGAATCCATTGCAAGTGGGATCAAAGCAGCCATAAAGGAAAAGTTTTCGGATGTTGTGAATGTTGTTTTCACCGGAAAGAATATGACATTAAGTTTGAAGAAAAAACTCAAAATCAATGACTGTATTTGTACATTAATATGATCAACTCATAAACTATGTGGATTTCATTTCAGTTTCTTCACTTCTCCTTTAGGACCTGTTTGGGGCAGCTAATAAGTACGGGGGCGTTTTTGAAAATGCCGTTGTACCGTTTGAATCGCACGTTTTGTCTGTTTATCCAAAAACACGGTTGCGTTTTTACACTAAACGCAGACCGTGGGTCGAACCCCGTGGTCGACCCGCGGACCGCGTTTCAGGATAAACTGTCTATCCTGAAACATATAAGTTGCCCCAAACGCACCCTAAGGGCTGCTTAATCTCAACTCGGATACCTATGAAACTTTCACTAATAAGCATTGTACATATTCTACTTACATTTCCTGTTCTGATTTTCGTGACTCTGAAGTACTCTAGTCTTAATATTTTAATACATTGTAAACTTGTTTTAATTAAGTTTATTTAATTGTGAGAAAATAAGTAATGATTTTGAAAGGGGGTGACCTTATGCAAAACGTAAATTTAATAAATCTGATAAAACTTAAGAGTTAGTTTCAATTATAAATTTAGGATTGTTAGAAGCCTATTTCGTTGTGCTTAAGCTTGGATGAAGTCTTTAAAGTTTCGAATAGCTAGACTGTGTTTTTTTTAGGGTTCGTTTGGGGCAGCTTGTGCATTTCACGATAAGCTGCTTATCCTGAAATGCAGCCCGCGGGCCGGTCACAGGGGTCGAAGGATACAAACTCAAACGCAGTTTTGGATAAGCTGATGAAATGCGTGAACAAACGGTACGATGGCGTTTTGAAAACACCACCCGCACTTATAAGTTGCCCCAAACGGACCCTTAATCTGGCCTTAGCCTTTTGATCAAATAATTAAGTTGCTAATGCGTGTAATTTTCCTATCTCGTGGCCTTAGCCTTTTGATCAAATAATTAAGTTGCTAAAGCGTGTAATTTTCTTTTCCTATCTCGTTTAATGTTCATTTTTCTCTCCATTAAGTGGTTGTTTGGTTGCCTGCAAAAAAATACATAATAAATTTGAATGCACTATATTATAATTATAATATAATATCTCTAGTCGGCTGTTTGATTGCTTGTATGGTAAATACATATTAATTATTTTTTCTGTTTAGTTATATTCATGTAAAATAAAATAAAATAAAAAGCAGTACATTCAAAATACTCGAGTTTGTTTGGTTTTTCATCTAAGTAAATATATAAAAATTATTTTAAATATTTATTTAAAATTTTATAATAAAATACATGTGCATTATAATATTGATGTGTCAAAAAGAAATTTTTATAAAGCATGAATCTAAGGATTTCTCAAATTCAAAATTGGAGCCGATTCGAATAATTTCATTGTCAAAATAACTTTTAAATTCAAAGTTGATCAAATCCAACTCCAATTAAGCTCGGATCAAGTTGTGCTTAACCTCCACTCGGTACATGTAATGAGTGACATGCATGTAAATTTGCCAAACAAAAAAGTTATTTTGATACATACCATCTAATTCCTAAGAACATGCATTACATTTATACCACATTCCAAATATTATATGCAAAATCCTCTGCGAGCTGCATGGTTACTTGAAAGGTTGTCAAAGTTTAAGAACATCCTGTTAAGCAAGGTTTTATACCACATTCCAAATATTATATGCAAAATCCTTTGCGAGCTGCATGGTTGGTTGAAAGGTTGTCAAAGTTCAAGGCTTATTAATTCATGGAAGTTTTTGCTTGTTGGCCGTAGGCAGTTAGCAACACAAATTTATGGAAGATTTTCATACAAAAGTATTGTGTGGTATGTAAGTCAATGCTCCAAAGAAAACAGCAGATATTCGGCTTCACTTCTAGTGACAAACTTGTGCTAAAAATTAAAAGGGGCATTCACATACAAACCACACAATTCTTCTATGTTTACATATCTGACGCCTAGCCTTTCTTTATGAAAATGAATTGAGCATGAAATCTTGGAGGAAAATAAGGAGCCACATACTGTCACCAAGCTCATTACAATCTGGCCAGGAAAATTAAATATAAAATCCAGTACAGCCAAGGAAATTAAGCATTTGTTTAAGATGCTATCTCAATGCATTCATCTGAACCCAAAAACCAAATATAAAGGCCTCTATTTAGAAAAACTCAAAAAGTTCAAATTATAAATAGCACATAATTCCTATTTATATAAAGGCCTCTATTAAGAACAACTCAAAAAGTTCATTGATGTTGTTAGCCATCATAGCAATAAATTCATGAATGTTTTGATTATTAGCAGAACTTTTTTGCTTTTCTTTGGGCCACATTCATTTGAAGAAGATGATGTATCCCGCTTCATCATTATTTCGCTACCTTCCTTAATATCCACTAAAGGAAACTGCATAGGATATGATGCATCTCCTCCAATCTCACCAAAAGCTTCACACTTCTCACCATCCAAATCTATCTGTTGTGTGCCAAGTGGAGTTTGATTATTTTCAGACTTAGCCCAATCCCAAGTAGCATGACCTTCACCGCATATCATCTCTGACTTCATATAATTTGCAATGGGGACATTGAGAAGTGTTGAATCGTTAGGAAAAGCTCGTGACACAATAAGCATAAATCATTGAATTAATTTCATTTTGTGATACTTTTAAAAAATACTTGAGTAAAAGTAATACTTAAATATGAGATATGCATTTCGCAAGACTTATTATTACAATTTTTATGCTTTTATCCCAAGACAAATGAGTTTTTTTCTTAAACATTTTGAATATGACTCCATGAATTTCTTCGATGTCAAATTTGGTTTTTATATTGCTACCCTATAATATCAATTCTAAATTTTTCTTTTAGTTTTTTGAACAGCTCCTTGGTAAACAAATTAAACTCCTTAAATTCTTAGTGATTTTGCATATTCAAATCAGCATACTAAACTATAGTTTTTAACAAACTAATGAACCACTCCGACTTTAAGTTCCACATGATATTCTTTTTTTCTTGTTCTTTGGAGCAGCTGATGTAGTTGACTATTTTGTGCCAAATCATTCATGTAAATAGTAAATACCATGCTAGAAATATATTACCTAAAATATGTAAAGAATATTTACAAAGCTATAGTAAATTTAGTATATTGTTTTGTCAAAAAAAAAAAAAGGAAAGAGATTATGTGCATACAAAACATACTAAGAATATAAAAGAAAAAATCTCTTTTTGAAAATGGAAAAAATATTTTTTAAAAAATTGAGATGGCTACACTCAAAGTGAGACTAATAAATTTCAAAAAAAAAAATTTAAATCATATTGTGATTAATACCCAATTGTATCCATGTGATTCCACATGACACTAGATGTTTAATCTCTTTTTTCTAACTAATCTTAAGAGTCTTCTAAAATGAATTCATATCTATTTCTAACACTATTTCGTCTGACTCACTCATCTTCTGAGATAATAAATTATCCACGGCCAGTAAGTACCAAGTTATGTAATATATAACAGACAACTACAATTTCAACTTCACTTTCAAATGAAAAGTATGTCACACACTTTAGAATTGCAAAGTAGGTCATCAACGAACCAAATACATGCTTCATAATTGTGCACAAAAATGACTATCAAAAATTGAATAACTCTTTATGATTTGTTGGTTTAATACCACTAAACACCTTCAAGTATTATCTTGTTGCATGATATGGAGAGATAAAACTTTTTTTGTTTGAGTAACCACTATCAGCTAAGTAGCATTTACGTGCAAAATTAATAATTTATATTAATTAAAAAATGTAACTACTTATGAAATTTTATATGGGCCTAATTTATATACTTTCTCGAACAGGTAAATTATCACATCATTCTAATACATTTTTTAGGATAGTTGCTTCATGGACTGAACTTTCCCAAATTGCTAAAAATTATATGATAATCTCAAGTCAAAGTCCACTGCTTCTAGCACATTTTGACTTGGTTATAGTTTTCTTTCTCTAAAGGTGGATTCATACTTAATCTATGCTAGAAGCAATCCTATTGACATAATTATTCTATAGAAAATACTATAAATAAAATGTAGGTTGAAATGATATTTGTAAAATAAAAGGACATAAATCTAGTGTTTACTTTATCAAATATGGAGTTTGGAGCAGCGAAAGCTTAATCATTTCATATCGCAGCTCTCCAATGACATAAAATACATGAATAAAGTACTTGTGATGGAAGAGATGGATGGGAATTGCCTTGAGGATAGAACTGAGGTTCTTCAAATGGGTATTGATATGTTTGAAATCACTTCTCATATCGCAGCTCTCCAATGACATAAAATACATGATTAAAGTACTTGTGATGGAAGTGATGGATGGGAATTGTCTTGAGGATAGAACTGAGGTTCTTCAAATGGATATTGATATGTTTTAAATCACTTAATCACTTCATAATATGTGCTAGTGAACAACAAGTATGTAAAAAGACGCTGTACGAAGAAGTCCTTGACGAGATTCATGAATGTTTTAAAAAAAATTTAAGTCGAACAAGTAACAAAAGAAGAAGACAATGCCATGGAACGAGAAACGTTCAAGAAGATTGAGAAAGAGCGAGGAATTATGATGGAAGAAGATTATGATGATCTAGATGAGATAATGGAGGAAGATTAAGCAATCATAAATATGTTAGAGACACAAGATCCATCGTTTTTATGAGATCATGAGCCAATCAAGAACGAAGAGTAAAACCAATGAGTATACTCAACAGTTATTGCAACAAATAAGATAAAGAATGAACAGATCAGCCAATCTCAAAAAGAAGATGGAAGAGATGATTGCTTTGACAACTCTGAATAGCTTTTCATAACCACCTCTCCAGCCCGCTAAAGTGAATCAACCCGAGGTTGTGCAAATAATTGAGAACAAAAAGTCAAACAATGTCGTCAACAAAATAATTAATATACTAATAAAAAGAAAGTTGCAACAACAGTATAGTAGAAAACCCTGAAACAGATGGTAGAACAACAAGTTAAAAAGCGTTAACCTAGTCAAAGGGTGGCGCATCAATTCTAATGGGTAGATCTTACCCTAAAGAATTGATGTCGTACAATATCCTAAAGGATTTTTACCTACCTCTTGATGGAGGGAAGACTT